AGGGGAGTTTTGTTACAACCATAAATGAGGATTATGAAGCTATTTGTTGGGGCTGTGGACTAAACCTTGTTCTTCCATCATATGCGCCGATTTTTAAGTGCGGCTGGTGTGGTGCAATTACAAATCAGAATCCAGTCAGACTTGAAACCAAAAGCTTTGGGTTGAGACGTTTCCGTGATCGGTGTTTCGTCGTTATCCTCGCTGTGTTTATGCTCTTTGTGATATGTAAGTTCCTCTAAATTATCCAAGAACAACAACAATTAATGTGAAAATTATAATTTTTTCCCATTTCCCTGTTAATAACCTCTGTTGGAAAAAAACTGCAGGTGGTGGGATTTGGGCTGCGTATCCTGTCGTGTTTTCGATCAGCTTGGCTTGTGGAATTTTTCATTCTGTTACAACAGTGTCTTTGGCGATATCAACGCTCACAACATTCATGCTTGTTGCTTTTAAATGCGCCGGGAGACCAATAAATGTTCTTTATGGAACCCACCCTGGAGTAGGGAACGGTGCCCTTAACAACTATACCTTCTGTCTCTACTGCTCCAAACCCAAGTCACCTCGAACCCATCACTGCCGCACGTGTGGCATGTGTGTCTTGGACATGGATCACCATTGCCCCTTTGTAAGTCTCATGGCTTTTGCAGGTTTCTCTTTAGTTATAACATATATATTAGTTTCACTTAGACAGCAGAATATAGAATGGCTTTTTGAGTGTACGTTGTGTGGTGATGTGCTATTGATGATCACGTTTCAAGTTTAGCATTTAGATAAATCACGGACTTGTACCAAGTTTATCATTCCATTTCATACAATCATCTAAGTTTCCCCAATTATTGGTCTTCAGATACTAGACTTGTTTATCAATACCTTAAACCTCAATGTATTTATTTACTGGTCAAGGGCTGTAGGCTAATGACTCTCCTCGTGTTGTATTTGCAGATTGGGAACTGCGTTGGTGCGGGTAATCACAAAAACTTCATAGCATTCCTTATCTCGGCCGTCATAAGCACAATCTACGCTTCTGCTATGTGTGTATATTCCTTGATTCATATTATGCCACCTCTGGAAAATGGAGCTGCGTATGCATCCAATGTGGCACATGGTGATACTTTATCGGTTCTGAGAGCAGTGAAGAATATTACTATTGCTTACATAGCCAATGCTGTCTTATTCTCTGTTCGAGGTCTTGTTCTAGTCTACCTCTTTGTGGCGAGTGTTTCTGTGGCGATTGGGCTGAGTGTTTTGCTGTGGCAACAGCTTAGCTATATCTATGAAGGCAAGACTTATTTAAGCCATTTAAGTTCTCAAGGAAGGGAGGAAGATGGTGAAAAGAGCTGCCGGAATCTTTTAACGTTTTTCGGGTGTCCACATTCAATTGAAAGGCACTTGCCAACTATAAGGAACTTGAGGAAGAGACATAAGACATGAGAAGAAGACAATATGTTCTTTCTGTTTCCTCCTGCAACATTTGGAGCTTGTTTTGGTTAATTCAGAAACATTAATCATACTTGGAGCTAACAGGTAATAGTGATGAGCAAAGTTTGTATCTCGTTTGTGAAAAATTTATGATCATAGAATATAGTGAATTTTGTTTCAAGATTGTAAATTTTTGATTCCCTTACATGCCTCGAACTCAAGAATAACAATATCAGAGGTGTTGCATGTAAAATCTATTAGCATTCATCACTGACTTGAAACTGTGGTTTTATGCAGCTTGAAAGCTTCAGTTCAGGCTATCTTTCATTCTCCATACTTTTAACATATCCCACCATCCATACTTACAACTTTTCCAAACTTTGTACCAACAAAGTAAGTTCTACAATTTAGTAGCATTAATATAATACAAACACAGCATTCTTCAAAAACTACAAAATGAAGACAGTTTGCCACTTCTTAGCCATACTAAGTTACACCTCTAACAGCCTATGCTAGTCGTCTAGGGTTCACAAAAGGGGACCATTATAACAGTTAAAGCTTCAAGTTCTGTTCACCAAAAGGGATTGCAAAAAATGGCTGGCTTCACAAGAACACTCATACTTCGTCTTGGCATTAAGACTGCGGTTAAGAAGTTAAAGTTGCCAGTCTATGGGGGGAATCCCCATTTGCTCGAATAGCTGGTTTGCTTGAGAGAAATGTCTGTCCAAAGGTGTAACATTAATGTTAATTCAGCAGTTGCGAAAACATAAACACAATGCTCAGACTGGCAAGTCATGTCATTTCTTGCAGACTCAC